GTGCTGCCACTGGTGGACGGCGGTGCTGGCGGCAATCTTTTGTGCTCGTGTTTGCACGTAGCGGTCAGTCTGCGCCACCTCATTCTGTATCCATGCAAGGGTGACGGCAGAGTCGGTCCAGTAGTGGACTGTGTGCCGGGTGCAAGTCCACTTTGATGGAGAGCGCCTGCATCATTTGTGCCACCATGGCAGCTGCCGCCAATTCAAGGAGGTTTATTCGAAATGCCAGGAGAGGAATGCCTGGTTCTGGACAGCAAGCTTTAGGGATGACTTTGGATTTGCCCCAAAGTAGCCACGTTTGCGGCCGGTCCCCCCTGGACGTGAAGTAGATTGCAACTCCCAAGGCAATTCGACTCGCATTGGAAAAGACATGGATATCCCCAGGCTCCTTGACGCGTTTTGCAACTTTTTGAGGCACCTTGATAGATTTGGCCTGGAGCGCTTGGCGGATAATGTCGTGCAAGGCTTTGTCTCCTTTTTGGAGAGGAGGTAGTCCCATGGTGCCTTGGGGTGCTGTTTGTTGAAGCGCTGCCAAAGGGCTTTGATGGTGGTAATGAAGGGGGTAATCAACCCAGGAAGGTTGAAAAGTCGCCCCTCAACCCCAACAATTTGCCGCTTCTGCAGGCGCGGGCATTTGAGGAGCACGGCAAGCAATTCTGTGCACACTCTGAGTGTGTCGGCCTGTGGTGTGTAGACAGCCCCCAGGACCTTATAGGGTTTTGGGTCAACTGGGGTGCTGCTGGTTGGATAAGACCGTTTAACTTTTGTGAGGTTGAAGCTGCCGACTTTAAGGGCAGTGGTTGCGTGTTGCAACTTGATTTCAACGGCACAGGGATTGTCACCTGTGATGAGGAGGTTGTTGACGTATGTTGTAGTGTCGAGCTCCTCTTGTTTGGTTGCAGACATGATGCCGCGAGTTACTGCTTCACGGTATAAAAATTGGACTGCCGCGTTCAGCATGAACGGTGCGCGGTTTATGCCCCACGGGAGGCGTAGGAACCTGAAAAACTTGTGCATGATGCTGCCATTGGGACAGGGGCGAGCTCAACCTGGACAAACGCTTTGCATATATTGCCAACCGCAAAGTCCTCGGTGAACCGCCATCCCAAAAGAATCTCAGTTATTCAGGGCAGGATATTGGCCCCTTGGCTAAAGAGTTGATAACACAAGAGGCTGCCCGGGTCTGCGCGTTGCCAGCCATGATGACCCGCAGGGGTGTCGATGAGCTGAATGGCCGCGCAACCCCATGATGAGGCAGCTCTGTGTAGGCAATGCCTCTTTGGTTCATCTCCTCAATGGGCGTGGGCATAATGACGCCGTCATTGATCCAATTTGTAAAAAATTCCTCGTAGCCCTTTGCCATCGGGCCCCCAGCCCGGAGGAGTTTAATACAAGATTGACTGCGCTGCACCCCGGTGCGCAGGTTAGGTTTGCATTGGTCCGGGTATAGGGATGTTTTAAGAAGGGGCGCCATGATGCACCCCCCCTGGACTGATGACAAGTTGGCAGAGGTACGCCTGAAATTGTTTGTCTCTTGAGCACTGCTCTTCCCTCGGATCGCCCAAAATATTGATGCAATCCTGGTACTCATATTGCAGTATGAGGCTGTTGAGCTTGCCATCAGCGACCAGGTTTGGCGCTTCTAGCGCCATGCATACGGGGGGTGCAAGGATCAGTCCTTGCGCTCACTGGGCGGCCCACGTTCCTCTTGCTACAATACCAAGGTGCATAGGCACCCCGAGAAACCCTTGAGTCCAAATGGGAGGCGTAATGTCTTGGCACAAGGGTACCAGGTTCTTGCCCCCCAGGACAATGTCAAAGGTCAAAACAGTATCTGTGAGGATGCGCCGGTCTGCCAGGTCAAATTTTTCTAACCAGGGGACGGCGCACGGGTTAGAACCCTTCCATGGCTCAATGTGAGGTATGACAAGTGCCACTGTATGAAATGTGGGGGAGGTTGGTACCACCCCCTGTACGTGAGGCAAACAGCCTCTGTTGCTGTCATGGGATTAGCCCATTCTACGCCGCCTATTATGTAGGGCGGACATGGTTCTGTGACCAAATTTGATCTTTGGACGAGGGCCCGCGAGATGAGTGTTAGCTTGGCCCCCAAGTCCAGGAGAGCAAATGCAGTATGCCCTTCAGGCTCCAAGCAGATCGCGGCCATTTCTAGGAAGGCACACATGGGCCCTGGCTGCAGAGCTGAGACGACCAGGACAACGCGGCGTTTGGCCACAGGTGGTTGTCAGCCGGCCGGTGCGGCCAGTTGTTGTTGCACAATCAGGGCTGCAGCGGTGGCTGCAGGGGCAGCTGGTGCTGCCGGTGCTGGAGGTGCAACAGGAGCCGCTGGCACCGCCTGTTGGAAGGCTGGGGCAGCTACGGATGCAGGCCCTCCTTGCTGTGCAGGCTGCTGATTCTGCAGACGGTTGAGGTTGCACGTTGTTGTGTGATGCCGCTGCTGGCAGTGCCGACATCTGTTGGGCAATGGACAGTTGTTGCCATAGAGGTCTCGTGAGAGGCAGTTGCTGCAGAGCCGACGCTGGCAAACGGCATGCAGTTTGTCTCGGACGGACAGGAGACACTGGGCCGCAGAGTGGTTTGCAGCGCAAAAGGGACACGTAAAACGGTCCTGCTGGTCCCAGCAATTGTCCCGGGAATTGTTGTCCCGGTTGCGACGGGAGTCATTATTGTTGCAGCGTGGTTGTCTGCGGTTATCATGCCGCCGGTTTGGGGAGCAACTGTGTGGTAGGTCCAAGGAGCGTCCTCGCCACCGCCACTTGCGTTGGGGGCTGCAGGAACGCAATTGCCCTTGCCAAAACTGTCGTCACTGATTGTTATTATTCCGGTTTTGTTGTTGCCATCGATTCCCATTAGAAGTTGACGGTGCCGCGTTTGCCAGATTGACATTGGATGCAACTGCAGGTGCTGCGGCTGCTGCAGCAGGTGGGGCCGTGGCCAGGGCTGCAGCAGGTGCTGCAGGAGCAGCAGCGCCATCAGCCGAGGCTGCTGATCCCTGAAATGCAAGAACTGGTGGTGCCTCCGCCATGCGGAGTTTGTGCGCAAAGTATGAGTGGATGAATCAGTACTGTTGGTGAGGGCAAGTTGCCCAGACAGGGTCCAGCTTGGGCATCTGGGCGTGGCAAGCAGTATAGGCTTGGAGTACTTCCAGGTAGTTGCCACGTTCTAGATGCACGCTCAGGACAGGGCCCACGCAAAGGTGCACGAAAGTCATGTCGGTCTGAATTGTGCTTAATTTCTCCGTGATTTGGATGACTCTGTTAAAGTAGTCGTAAAATTCTGACAGGGTGTTGGGTGCCGGAAGGCGATCAAATTTGCGGTATAGCTTAAGGCGTACTGCATCCGTTTGCTCGTACTCTGAGAAGAGCACCTGGAGGACACTAAGGTAGTCCATGTTGACGTCTTGGTACACAAATGCGCCGACGTTTTCTTTGGCTTCACTGTCAAGGTGAAGTAACAGTACCCGAATGCGTTCAATGTCCATGAGTTGCATGGCCAGGATGATATGGACTGGCAAAAAATTGCGCCAAAAGTGCTCAAACCGATAATTTGAGTCCGCTTGGCCAGTGAATCTATTAAATGACGCATTACAAGCCTGTTTTCTGTATGACTTTACAAGGTCATGGTGGGACAGGTTGGTGGGTTGCCCCGTCCTGTATGTTGTGAGAGCGTGATGATACCCCTTGTATGGTCTGCCCTGCGGTTGCAGGATGGAGGACGGCCCAGACTCCGAGTTGCCGTAGCTGGCCGGAGCTGGTGGATGCAATAATGAGGGCGCCATAGGGCGCAGAGGGACAAGTTGCCCCATTGCTGGATGCAATGATGCCGATCCGGTTCCCCGCGACATGCTGGGCATGTGCAATGGTAACACGGGAACTGGTGCCCCCCTGGGGGAGGGCTGAGGCGCAGCATGCGCCACCAATGATGTAGGAGGCGCAGGTGTGGGAGGTGCCGCAGGAAAGGCAACCCCCAAGACGCATGGCTGCGTCCGGCAAAGATGAGGCCACCCCCCGGTCATGACATCCATTGATTGCACAAGAAGTGTGTTCACCTTGTTTGCCAATTGAGTGAGGGCAGCAATTTCAGGCTGCAAGAACGCAGCAGGTGATAGATCAATAAGATGCATGGCTGCATCAAAAAATTGCAGGACAACGCTTTTGAAACATTGTTGCAGATTGCCAAGTTCAGGAGTCCGCAAAATATGGTCGACCGCGCCCACTGCGTTGGCAAGGCGGAGGACATGTTTAATAATTGCGGGGCAGCGTGCTGTCCATGCCAAGGAACAACCACTAGAGGCCGCAATCAAGGCAGCGCCGCGAGACGCCGGACGCTGAGATCTACGTTCAACGCCTGAAAGAGGCACCTGTTGCGTTTGATGCAAGGACCAAGACCGCGCGCTGTTGCAGCTGCCGTCGCTCGATGGGCTCAGGGACAGGCAATGCTGTGGCCCCACCAGTAGAGGTTCACGCCTTTGCAGAGGCTGGCGCGTACCGCGGGTATGGCTGGAGATGGGAGGCATGCCTGGGACTGCGCCTTCCTCATCGTTCATTGTGCTGGAGAAAATTTCACGCAAAAAATACAGGTAAGTACTTACAGGCTTCTCCACAGGGTGAGGTGGGCTGGGTGTAAACAGAAGGGCAGCAAGGCTGCAAGTTCACACTTGTAAATTCCACACTTCAGAAAGGAAGGGAGCTGTGCCCAAAATTGCGAAAAATGCCGGGGTTCGACCTCGTAGTGGTAAACCCACTGGCCACCAATTTTGTCGGGCCGATTAACAAAAAAGATTTTTAGAGAAAAGAATGGACACAGTCAGTCAGCCTTTAACGGCCGGATCCTCTTTAGAAGAGTCCCTTATAAAGCAGCACTTTAATGCAGTCACAGAAATCCGCAGAAGGACAATCAGTACTCAGAGGTACACAACAAGCAATCGAGCTAGGACAAATTACTCTGAACAACCGCCGTAAGGCAAACCCAAGCTCTGAATGCATTCTTCCCAAAGTCTTTGGGACTTTGGTGTCGGCTTCTGCTGCCAGAGATTGGTATCTCTTGCTACTGACCCGGTTTACCGCAATGCGGCAAACCGGGTGCCTATCTGCTTCCGGGTCTCTGTGCTGCCGTTGCTGCGCGGCGTGCCCGAGCAAGGATGCTACGCTTGGGCCATGCCGCGTGGACGCGACCCCACACCTGTGTCAATAAGATAATATCCAAGAGACTTCCAGCACTTTTGAGTACTGGAGGTTGGAGAGGAAAATCCCAACAGTTAGAATGTTTTAAATGCATCAATTTTGCAGAGGAATTGAGTCTGGCACATGTTAAAGAAATCGATATGAGGAGTTATTCGACTCCTTGGGACGTTCGATCAGTTATCAAGATTTGAGTTATGCACTATACTTCGCATTAAAAATACGTATTTATTTGTTCTTCCTCCCTTTATCTCAAGTTTCCGAGCTGAAAAGTCCAGGATGCCCGTACAGGTTCGGCATTTTCCCGATCGACTCGAAAAACTGCACAACGACCTACTACAAGTGTGCATTCGGGATCCCGGAAGAGCAAAAGTGCCAAATCGGCTTAGCGTACGACAACCGGATCCACCAGTGCAACTGGCCGGATCTCACCCCACATTGTGACCCTGAAAGTAATTTGTTTTGTTTTCCACACCTTACCAAGACCTGTTGAACTAGAAAGTATATATACTGCACCTGTATGTACTTTTAGTATGTCCTACTGCAAAAAATCCTCATTAACCCTTGGATGGCTGAGGGTTCCTTTCCATTACAGGGCGAAGTCAGGATTTCCTTGGGTGGTCTTGCGTTTAATTTTTCTTGAAGGCCACAAAAGCCAGGCCAGGTAACCTAGGGCAGAGTCTGACTTTGACCACGAAAAAAAAGGTGCTGCTAATAATTCCTGAAGTCCAACTTTTTCTGCAAATCTTTGTCTGCCTCTCAAGAAGAATCCTCCATCTGGTGCTCAGAATGAAAGGGTTGCAAATCTGAGAAGAATGCAACTAATCCTGAGAGAGGTTAAAAAAGGCTCAGGCTTGGTGATGCAATTTCTATTTTTGGGCAAACATTTTCTGTGGATTTTAAAAAAATACACCGGGATTTTGCCAGACTTTGCCTTGGGTGAACTGTTACTAGTTTTTTTTAAAACCTGGCCTCACAGACACAAGATTTTGCAGAAAAAGTCTGACTTTGCTGCCCAAGGGTTAAACTCCAAGGCTTTTCAATAAGCAATGCCACTGTCAATGTCACAGAGATTTAGATATCCTTTCTTAAAGATGAGAGAAATAAAGGGTACAAAGATTGGGTTGGGCTACAACCAGGATGCTTGAGAACGCCCTATTCTAAAGTTGATATATTTGAACAAGAGTTCCATCGCAAATTTGCCAAGTACTTTTGGAACCTTGTGGTACAATGAGGTTCAAGAGATAGTGATGTCTTTGCATGGACTTATGGTTCAAGAAGAGTTTCTGTCTTGTGTGGAATTTTCCACTGAGATTTGAGCATTGATTTCAACATCTGTCCTTTTAGAGCTAGAGTACAGTTACTGTTTTGGTTTGTACAGATTGGGAAAATTAAGGACCAGAGGTCCATTTCTGTTCATTGTGAGAGCTTGGGTGAAACCCAATTCTAACAGAAGTATCCAAGGATAAGTTTTGGCAATTGCCAAAACTCATCCCTTTTATGGCTTGGTCTTTTGAAAATTGCAGTTTGGCACCCTCTCTGTGAGAGATTAAGTTTCTCAGGAAGCTAAAATGAAAAATTGCTTAGTTCTCCAAAATAACTGACTGAATTGCAACAGTCAAAACTGCCTGCAGGTGGTACACTAAATTTTGCTAACATAGCATCTGAGAGGGCCAACAATGTGCATACAGCTGAAATTTGAGTGAAGCAACTAAACGTAAGTGCCAATATAAAATATCAGACGGATCAGCATTGACAAAAATGTTTACTGTCAAACTTCAGAAATTTTAAAAGGTAAACAAATTACGAGTAAAATCAACTATTGTTGAATAAGTATTACACTATTTAGTTAGGAAATTCATGCAAGCCACTGTTCCAATAGTCAATTAATTTAATTAATGTTTTGACTGGTGTTCAATATTTTTGATCTGAAGGCTTGTATTGGGACTTGCAACTTGAGAGTAAGCAATTGCATCTTGAGAGTATTAAAATTATATGTTGAATGGTAATCGTAGGAAAATTCGTTCGAAGGACTGAATTCGCGTTTGAATAATTTGCGGCATTGTTCAACAACAATGTTCTGAAGTGCTTCTGAGTTTATCACCTTTCAGAATAATAACTTCAAGGTCTCCCAAGGTAATTCCGCCCTTTTCATCAACAGCAGTCGCCTTTTCACAGCTGCCATGCTCGAGATGACAATGCGACGGCTGTGAAGGCAGCTGTTATTGAAAATAGCTGAATTCCTTTTGAAAAACATTCCATTTATCTTTATATTTATTGCAACTCTCGGGAGTAATGCCAGGTCAATTAAAAGAATTCCGAAGGGGAAGCTGGTGTGCACAAAAATCTTCGTAAAGATGGGCGTCTCATATTTTGAGTGAAGAGAAGCAATAATAAGGTGCTGCCACGGTGTGACTTTTGCAGAAAACAAAAATCCAAAACAGTATTTCAAACGGGGCTGATTTGTTTTCCTTCTGCGAAAGAATGTATCTTTCTAGAATAGGAATTTTTTCCAGCGCAATCGCATATGCCATTTCAATTTTAATTCCGACATTCTTTGTTATATAGACCCATCGTATATCGTCACTCATTCCATCGCAACATTTTATTTGGGCGACCTTTTTCCAGAGACGTATTTGGATTTATTTTTTCTTCTTCTCCTTTTATGTACAGCCATTGTTGGATTCAGTTGTCCGGAAAAGCTGCCCCCAGGCTCCTTGGCAGTGAAATTCATGCCATTTCCGCGTTTCGATGCTGGTCGATGCGACTCTCTGATCGTCTGTGTCAATGGATACCCGCGTCTCATTCGGTGCACGGAAGAGAAGGTCTTCAACAAGCTCACCCTCAGCTGCGATTATGCCGAGAATGTCCCTGAATGGTAAACATCAAGGCATAGGAAGTGTAAAAGAAATTTTTTTGTTTGCAATTCAAAAAACGTTTGCCATCTTTCGTATGGACTGTAAAGCCTTCTGATATAGTTCTTCTTGAAGCAGACTTGTGATACCTGTTTGAAATTCTTGCACACTGGGTATATTTTATATTGTGGACTCGACAGAGATTATTCATGCTACGTGACTTTATTTTTCTGTGATTCAATGCCATAAGTGCTAATCGAGGTATTATTGGTGCAAAATGCAATAGAAAACATGTTAATGGACGTGGAATGCAAACCTTCTGCAACAGAGACAATTAAAACGCAGAGTTTGCATGGGATATATACCGGGGTTGTCCCACTTCCACTTGACCTTGGGTACTTCTGAAGTAGCTACACTTGAAGAAAAAATTATGATGGAGCCCATGCAATTGTAAGGTTCTGGGGTCCCATCAAATTTTTACAAACATTTCTAGATTTACTGCATGATGTTGAGTGAAAATTTTACAGTTCTGGCAACAGTTCGCAATTTATTTCACAATATTTTGAAGCTTTTTCAGGCCAGACAAAAATTTAGAAATATTTTGCTGTTCTCACCACAAAAATTCCTACATCTTCTAAAATTTTAATATTTTGCAATGAATATTTTGTTTGCTACAAATGAAAACCTGAGTGAATTTTGCAGTTTTCCAAGAGCAGGGGTTCAATTCAAATTTTTCTCATTTCCTCTTCAAGAACATCATGCAAGGCCTATATACTGCCTTGGATATTTTTTCTGATTACCTTGAAATTTCATGAGACTTCAGTTAATATTTTTTATTTCTTTTCATTTTGGAGTGGAAGAAAGGAAACTAAAGGAAAAGGTGGTGAGGAGTGGAACCAGCTCAAATGGAAAGTGATGGGTGGGGGAGGAGGACAAGATCTAACTGGACTTGAGCAGAGGTCTGATCCATACTCTGCTTTCTGACCTTGAGGCAGAAGATTTGGAGAAAACAAAGAAGTTTCATAAAATTTTGGGGTTGTGAGAAAATATCCCAGGGAGGAACTAGGCCTTGTATGATGTTTTTGAAGAGAGAATTTTTAAAAATTTGGAATTGAACGCCTTCTAAAAAAGCAAAATGCACTTTGGTTCTCATAAATTGCAAACAAAATGATCTTTGAAAAAATTCCCCAATTTCACTTGCCAAAAAGTTTGTGCTAGGAACAACACAGTTTTTTTTACATTTTTTGTCTTGCCTGAAAAAGTTTCAACAGCTTGTGATGTGAATGAAAAACTCTCACTGGAACTGGTACGTTTTCACCTATGATCATGCAGTAAATCTAAAAATGCTTGTAAAAGTCTGAAAAACCCCAGGAACCTTACAATTGCATGGCCTAATGCATGCATTTTTTTCATAGTGGTATCTACTCCAGATATACCCAAGGCCAAGCGGAATTGAGACAACCTGTATATGGCAGACTTCTAAATTAGGTACTGGTATCTCAACTGGCAAGGATGTATATGATCTCATGAACATTTCTAATCTTGGAGAAACAAGGGTGTCGAATGCACTTAGACAATGATTTGGGTTGGTGTTGACGTATTTTGTTGTTGCACACTCAACAAAATAAACAAGAATGATTTAGAAAGGTATTCAAGATAGCAATGGAATGCTGGGTGGAGTTGCACATTGAGTTCAATGAGGTATACCAAAAATTAAAATATTCAGGGAGCTCAAAAGTGCTGTTCATGTTGTAGTCATTAAAATATAACTACAGTACTGTCTGGTGAGATTCTGCTACACCAAATTCATTAAAAACTTCAAGTAAAAGCAAAATGCAGAAAAAAGGGTTGATATGAATTTTCCAGATTCAGGAAAATGCTTCAAGTAATTGTAATGGTTTTTTCTTCAGTTTCCACTGAAATTTTTGAATTTCTGAATTTGTTACTAATATTTCTTATGAAGAAAACTTCTAAGCAAAAAATTCCATAAACACCATATGCAGTATCAGCTCACATTTATACTAAAAACGGAATTAGCACATTTTTTGGGAGTTATTGATTGCATTTAGGTGGAGAAGCGTTGCCACTTCTGCTGTGATAATTTGTTTGTTCTTATTTTCACCTTAAAAAGTTTGGAGTGCGTAGGCTGACTACATTTTTAATCTGAGTATAATTCACATCCAATTTCCTACATTTGTATATGTCATGTAATTTTGATGCAACAAGGATTCCATTACTGGAGGTACCTTGCAATTGGTCCTCCCTCATTTCAACCATCCCAAAATTTTAAAATAAAATTTGCAGGTAGGTTGACTTGCATTTTGACCCTTGCCCAGCAATTTGACCCGCTTTTGCCATTTTTTGCATTGATGTTTTTGAATTTTACAAAGTGTCTTGCTATTCAACTGATTCACAATTCGACCCTAGTTTTGGAATGGATTAGGGGTGAATTGCAAGTTATCACCTGTATAGCTATTTTCTTCTGTAGCTTACTATACAATATATATCAGTTATTTTGAAGAAATTGGAATTTTCCTCAGTATTTGAAAAGTCAGAGTTGGAATAATTATTTTATGAATGAATGAATGAACAGAATACTTCATTTGCCACCTTTCAGCATTCACAAGGTTCAATCAAGATTTCCATATCCAAATCCCCTCATCTCCACCCAACCCAAATCCACTCAAAGACATTTAATCACTTATTCAGAGCAGGAAACAGAGAACAAATGGATAACAAAAATGAAAGAAAATACAATCCACAAAATAAAACTGGACATTTGACATGTATGCATACACCCATTCTTTCCTTGACATTGAAAACAAAATATCAGTAACAATTAATTTAAAGCACAAGGTCTTCAGCTTGTTTCTGTATGACAATTTAGAGAGAATCTTTGATGAGAAATCATAGAACTAGAAAAGGATTAAAAAAAAAACAATGAACAGGGATAGAGTAAGTAGCATAAGGATGAAATTTACTAATTTCCAATTCTCAAGCTCAATTATTTTATCATTTGTCACATTGTCAGTGGTCAATGACTTTTATTTTTTACTTTGTAATGAATCTTCCAACTGTTACCTTTTTTCCAGTGCAAATCATCACTCACCCAAGGTGCAGATAGTGTGAGAGAAGTCCTTTGTTCCACACTCCTGCCCTGCAAATATGTAGCAGAAATGCACTTCATACATATCCTGGGAAAAAAATGAATCCACCGAAAACGGACCTTGAACGATTCGAGTTCACTCAAATGGGGCGTGGCTTTTGTTCATTTTTTTGAATCCAAACAAGGCATTTGCATTTTTGCATTTTTTTCGCATGCGCTATTGGAGAAAGAAATTTATCCCCGGAATAATTGCCCAGAAATCCGTGAAGACTCGGGTTGTTTTCATCTCCGATGTTGAAAGTTCCCTTTTTTTATTTTGTGACGGTTTCCAAATTGTCTTCTCCAAACATATTGCGCTTAAAAATTGGAACTGGTTCCGTTTTGGGGAATGGTTTTGGCATTTTAAGTCGTCCGAGAAACGATCGACGCAGTGAGGTCGGAAAAAGGTTGTCTCTTTCCGTGACTTTTTTTTTATCAGATTGAAGTTTTCGTTTAGAAATGCCGGTGGAGATTAAAATGTCCTCTGTTTCTAAAAATTACCGTACGCGGGATTTATTCAGCATGCAGGTGATGTGTATAAATGAGATTGTCGCAGATTCTGCTTCAGCATTCACAGGAACGCTTCTGATCTGATTGGTGAAGCGATTATTCCTTTCTGGCCTTCAAACAATCCTTTCATTGCTCAACGTGGGCAAATCTTGTCAAAATTTGACCAGGATGAAGCAAGAGAATCTGTGCTCCATTCGAAATTTTGACATTGAAATACTGTAGTATCATTTGCAATTTTTTCAGAGAGAAACTACACTGTGTACACTTACTCATGCCGAAATGGATGTCCTGGTTATTCTTGTGTAGCAAATTTTACTCTTCAATGCCCTTCATGGTAGTGCAAATAGTATGTTAACATGCAATAATTGATTGATATTTGAAGATAAGGACGGAATGTTTTTCCAGTTAATCATTTGGGTACACTGTATAGCTATATAGAGTATTTTTGATAGTGAAACTCCATGATGCAGACATAACTGGGTGCATGGACCTTATTGTCCACAAACTTGAACATCAACATGTTGGACCTTGTTTTCCCATTGACTTCAATGCAAATAATTTCCATTGGTTCTCATGTGGATCAATAACAAAGAAAGAGTCCCACAAAAATTTAATAACATTATTTCCCTTGACTTCAAAATGTAGGAAATTACTGTACAGAAGAAAACCACGAACAATTTGATCTTTATGAATCACATATGGAACTCAAAAAGAAATGAACAAGAAGAAGTCTTGTAATACAGAGCATACATCATGAAAAAAATTGATGCAAGTAGCACAATATTAGCCTGTAAGTTAATATGAATAAGGGTTTTTTTATCATGCATTTTATTTTTAGTTTTTACAAATGTAAACAGGTCAATGTCTTCATCAAGAAATCTGAAAAGTAAGATAAATAAAATATTAAAATTTATTCCAGAAATCTTGGAAAAGTGTTCATAACTTGAGTCAGATCACTCAGATGTTGGGGGCAGATTTTTTCCATTCTAAGTGTCCATCATGTTAAGAGAATGAATGTTTACTTTTATTTCTTGGCAACTGAAAGAAGCTGCTTCTTTGTAAAAAAAAAATTTATGATTTTGTGATGAACTGCTGTGAGAAGAAAGTGTGTTTCTTCCATCATAATGCACCATACTGGTGTAAAATTTTTAAATTCAACCATTCCAAGTTCCTCTTTTATTCTGATGAAACATTGATGGTTTGTGTTTCGAAGTTGGTTCCGGAAAAGAAAGCATCATGGCTCAATTTCAATTCTTCCTATGCACTCTGGTCAGTTCATTTTTCATGATTTCGTTTGAGGGCAATAATGTGAACCTGAAGTCATTCTGTGACAATTTCCAACAGAAGAGTCTCCTCATCCGTCAAGGTCGAGACTCTTAATCTTGTCACTTCAGGCAAGTGTTACAGGATGAATATTCCATCAAGGTTGTACAAACGTTTTCGTCTGAAAGATTATCCATGGATGGACACGTTTCTCCAGTCATTCACCCTGCGCTGTTGCCCTTTCATCCTGCAAGAAGTTGGCACTGAAGTTGTGCCAAAGGACCCTTCAATTGCTAGCAAATGACCAATACAACGTAATTTAGAGATAGGAAATTAAGGCAGTCAAAAACCTAACATTTGAAGGAAACTTTGTTCACGAAATTTGAATTTTTGTCTCTTGGTCTGTGACAGATGATCTGCCACTGAAAGTGCCATGGCCCCCCGTTCTGTAACAAGTGTCCCAGGAAGGGCTTTCTTACGTAACGGGTGTCCCAGAACGGGCCCCCTGACGTAACGGGTGTCCCGGAACGGGCCCTTTTCAGTAACATCAGAATTGGTCCCAAAAACGCGAAATTTCGATTTCTAGCTTCAAAAATGGAGTTTTAGGTCCAGGAAAATAACTGCCTGCCTATCAAACAATTTCAAATACAATTTCTACAGTCTCAGAGGATAGTTTAAGGTGCAGCTTCAACAAATAAAATATTAAAATTTATTCCAGAAATCTTGGAAAAGTGTCCATAACTTGAGTCAGATCACTCAGATGTTGGGGGCAGATTTTTTCCATTCTAATTGTCCATCATATTAACAGAATGAATGTTTACTTTTATTTCTTGGCAACTGAAAGAAGCTGCTTCTTTGTAAAAAAAAAAAAAAATTATGATTTTGTGATGAACTGCTGTGAGAAGAAAGTGTGCTTCTTCCATCATAATGCACCATACTGGTGTAAAATTTTTAAATTCAACCATTCCAAGTTCCTCTTTTATTCTGATGAAACATTGAGGGTTTGTGTTCCGAAGTTGGTTCCGGAAAAGAAAGCATCATGGCTCAATTTCAATTCTTCCTATGC